CGCAAAGCGCATGCATGACCATCTCGTTTGCGTGCTTAGAGCGCACTGATTTCGTCGTGCTATCTTTCATTACCCGAGCCAGCCAATACCAAGCCGAGCGWATACGAARTYGGYYGGGACCTGCYACACAGATTTTGCGGCGTGGAAAAACGTTGCTCTACATGTCTAGTCTATGTGTTGTTTGGTCAGTGATATTATATATATCTCGTTTATCGATGTATCGATAAATAGTTAACAACGAGGATAGTCATTCACACTGTTGAAAGTAGCATCACCAATTCTGTCTAGAATTGCATGACTTTGTGATTTTAAAATTATTTGTTACTAATTCCGAAATGCCATCTTTTAAAGGTAAAGTTTTTAAATAACAGTTTGTGTTGAAATTGATAATAAATTAGCTTTTTTCTGTTCAGTTAAAGTCAAGTGGGGCCGTGAACTATATCCGGATATTGATGTCAATACTGATGAAGACCCAATATTATTTAAAGCTCAACTTTTTGCATTAACGGGAGTTCAACCGGAACGCCAAAAAATAATGTGCAAAGGCGGCATACTTAAAGATGATGAATGGAATTTACAATTAAAAGACGTAAGTTGTATGAAGTATTTAACGATATCTCTATGACCATTTATATTCCAAAGGGTGCCGTAGTCTTATTATTGGGTTCTAAGGATAAAGTTCCCGAAATGCCCCAAACACCAGTTAAATTTATTGAAGACATGAACGACGCAGAAGCAGCCACCGCGGTATTGCCCTTTACATTTAAGAGTATTAAGTCTTAAATACTAGACATCAATTTTCTAGATGCGCTTACCTGCCGGTTTAACTAACCTCGGCAATACATGTTACATGAATGCCACTGTACAATGTTTAAGGGCTGTTCCGGAACTACGAAAAGCTTTGGAAAAATTTCAACCTGATAGCTCTGACGCCACTTCATATGCATTTACTATTTCATCAGCTATGAAAATAGTGTTTGCACAGATGGAGAAGGGAACAACTATTACACCAATTGTGCTGTTGCAAGCCCTACATAGGGCATCACCGCAGTTTGCACAGACTGGAGAAAATGGCACCTATCGGCAGCAAGATGCCAATGAATGTTGGTCTGAAATACTGAAAATGTTACAGCAAAAACTTTTACCATTAAAACAAGAGTTAGGTGAAGCTACCGATAAAAAAGTTCATAAGTAAGTATCTGCTTCGTTGGTTTTAGAAAATGACTAAAACCCATTTAACATGAAAGTTTAATATGCATTGTTATTTTATTGCGCAGACACTTTTAAATGCTATTTTATAAATAATTTCGATATTTTTATTGACATATTGCTTAAAATTGATTATTTTCTTCAAAGCTCATTCATTGAACAATTCTTTGGTGGAACTTTTGAAGTCAAAATGACTGCTGATGAAGCTCCTGATGAGCCTGTTACGGTTTCAACAGAAAATTTTTTGCAGCTCAGTTGTTTTATATCGATGGAAGTTAAGTATATGCAAAGCGGCCTCAAATCGGTAATCATCAATCAAATTATTGTTGCATTACATATGTTAATATTTTATTTAATAGAAAATGAAGGAGCAATTGGTAAAGAACTCGAATACGCTGGGTCGTGATGCACATTATACAAGAACTGTGAGGCAACATATATTCATATATATCATATATAAAATAGAAACAAAAAATAATTTAATCGTTTGTATTTTTAGTATTTGATAAGTCGACTTCCAGCATATCTTACCGTTCAATTTGTCAGATTTCAATATAAAGGAAAGGAAGGCATAAATGCAAAAGTATTGAAAGATATCAAATTTCCAATTGATTTCGATGCATTTGAGCTGTGTACGCCCGATTTACAGAACAAACTATGCCCCATGCGATCCAAATATAAGGATCACGAAGACAAAAAAATGGATGTCGAAACACAGATAAATAAGACAGCGAAATCTTTGGAAGTCGACGGAGAAGATGATGAAACAAAATATGAGCAATTCTGGTTTGATAATGATTTGGGCAGCAACAACTCTGGTTATTATACACTTAAAGCTGTTCTAACTCATAAGGGTCGCTCGAGTTCATCTGGTCATTATGTGGCCTGGGTACGCTCAAATGGTGATGTTTGGTATAAGTTCGACGACGACGATGTGACATCTGTTACCACTGATGAGATATTACGACTGTCTGGAGGTGGTGACTGGCATTGCGCTTATGTTTTGTTGTACGGACCTAAACGTTTAGAAAAGTGCTAGTATGGGTTTGCATTGAGGATACCAGATTGTTAACCAAATTTATAAATTAAAATATTAAAGAATCCTAACGCAAATAACGAATATAAATTTGTTTTTATACTATTTTTCTTCAAACAAACTATGATGGTTTTTAGTTTTGTCTGGATCATTATTCTGCAGAGCGCAGGTTTTATACCCAAACTCATTCATATTTTCATCCTGCGTTTATTGCTGTGTCTAAGGCCAGCAGCCGGCTTTTCAAAAAAGCCAGTTTTGACGGGAAAAAAGCTGATTTGGCAACACTGGTTTCCCTTGCTCGCTCTCTCTCTCTCTCTCTCTCTCTCTCTCTCGATGCCCACGGCTCTCTCAAATATGTATACACCCACCCAGTGGCGACCACCTGAATGAGGTCTGTTGAAATAATGCATTACATGCGAGAAAAAAGTAATGCATTGCCTATGAACATTTTTTTCAGCGCATTTGTAATGTACAAAATAAAAAGTGCTACTCATACGACAGAATCGAGCTCTTGTCAACTTCGTTTTTGTATGCCCYTTCCCCGCTAACCAACAAACGATTTTCGTCTTTCGTTGCGTCGCGACGCGTCGTGACGAAATCGCCGAATTTCGTTTTGGACTTTACCGTTTTTTG